TTGATTGTTTGACAATGGGTACAAGACCATTCAATAGAGGAAGAGATAGTCTTTTCAAAAAATAGTTTTGGGACAACTGGATAGCCAAATGCAAAAGAATGAAATTACCTCACGCCATACACAAAAATTAACTAAAAATGGACCAAAAACTTAAATGTAAGAACTAGAACAATAAAACTCTTAGCATAAAACATAGGTGGAAAACTTCATGACATTGGATTTGGCAATGATTTCTTTGATATACCACCAAAAGCACTAACAACAAAAGGAGAAAAAAGATAAATTAGATTTCATCAAAATTAAAAACTTTTGTGCTTCAAAGGACACTATCAAGAAGTGAAAATACAACCCAAAGAACGGAAGAAAATATTTCAAAATCATACCAAGGTATGAGTCATAGGTAAAGGACTTGGACCTAGAATACAAAAGAACTCTTAAACTTAACAATAAAAACCTAACGTAATTCAAAAACAGGCAAAAGACTTGAACAGACAGTCCTCCAAAGAAGGTATCCAAATTGACAGATAAGCACATGAATAGATGTTCAACATCATTAGCAGGGGAATGAAAATCAAAACCACAAAATACCACTTCACACCCACTGGCTTGGCTATAAACATCAGCTTAGAAGCATCGGAGAAGACATGGAGAAATCAGAACACTCATACACTGCTGATGGGAATGTAAAATGGTTAGGGCACTTTGAAAACAATTTGGCAGTTTCTCAAAAAATTCAACGTGGAGTTGACATTATACCCAATGACTCTACTCTTAGGCATACACCCAAGAGAAACAAAAACATATGTCCACACCAAAATTTTCACATAAATTGTCGTAGCAGCATTATTCACAATATCCAAATGGTAGCAACAACTCACATGTCCATTATTAATGGGTAAACAAAATGTGGTATGTCCACATAACAAAATATTATTCAGCCATAAGATGGAATGAAGTATTGATACATTTTACACAACATGGATAAAGCTTGAAAACAGTATGCTAAGTAAAAAAAAGCCAGAAAAAAAAGGCCAAAAATCTTCCTATAAGATTCCACTTATGGGAAGTTTCTAGAATAGGAAAACTACAGAGACAGAAAGTAGATTAGTGGTAATTTTCTCAGCACTGTGGGGAATGAGAAGAAAGAAGAGGGGTAGTTGAAAGGTATGGGCATTCTTTCTTAGGTGATAAAAATATTCTGAAAACTACTGTGGTGATAGTTGCACATATCTGTGAATAAACTGAAAGCCACTGTACACCTTAAATGGGTGAACAGTATGGAATGTGAATTACATCTCAATAAACATGGTACCCTCCACTTCCCTTCCAAAGAAAATCAATGCCCAAATAGACTATTTAAAGTATGGCGGTTGATACCAGTTGTCTGGTGGTTTTAAAAAAATATTTTCTAATATATACAATCGGTATGAATTTGCATCCATCAAAATCTGGTACATTAAATATCATTTTACTTTAATTTTTGAAATAAATTAAATCTCACCTCAACTCTCATTTGCCAAAGTATTGAGATGTTATATTATAATGTTTATGTGTGCAACTATCACCACGGTCAATTTTAGAACATTTCTTGTTATAACCACAGTTCCCTCCACAGCAGCAGTAGGATTTGTACAGGTTGCAGGGGTCTTCTGCAATCTAGAGCACCAGGAAGGGCCCTCTGGTCTTTGGCCTATACTGTTCATTGAACAGTATGAAAGCATCACAGTCTCAGCCTGCACAGGCTAAGGTCCTTTGAGTGAAGGTCATTTTGCTTCTTCCCTGTCCTGCTAGAGATTGGGGATTTTGTGAAAACTGGATATCCAGGGTTCCAGGCAGTCATTTCTCTTTAAGCTCTTTCTCCTTCCTGAGGCACTTCAGGCAGCAGAGCAATCACAGAATCTGCAAAATACTAACCTCTTCCCTGTCCTGCAAAATCTCCTTCTCTGCCAGGGCCTGCCCCTTTGACCCACTACCTCAAAGTACTCTCCACCATCTTCCCTTCTATGGGATATCTGATTCCAGCAATAACAGATCTGCTTAAGACCATCCCTTCTTATTGAGAACGACCAGACAAGCTGGTCAGAACAGAATACATATCTGTTTAAAAGCACTAGAAAGTTTTTAAGTAAGAACTCAAAAGTTTCAAATTGTCTTCGGGTAAAAACTTGAAGGGCCAAATTCCAAAGAGAACAAAAGTACAGAGAGGTTAGCCCATCATTCGGCATTGCTTCTCCCTTTGATACATTTGCTGATTCTTAAGCAGCAACCAAGGGGGCAAGAAGCTAGGAGAGCTTTAGGCAGTCTTAGGACACTGAGATGACACTTAGGACACTGAGATGTGAAGATCGAAGGCCACTAAAGAGGAGCTGCTGTGGTAAGTACACTAGACTTTCATTTCACATGGTAATCTGTTACATTGGTTGCCCCCCTCAATGGGCCATACCTTTTAGTGTTCATGCCTTTCAGTGGCTACTCTTCACATTGGCTTTGGGGATGGCCATGTGATTTGTTTTTATAAATAGTCCATCAATAAAAGTGACATGAAGAGAGACTTGATAAGCACTTACTAACAAAGCTTTATACTTTTGGAATTATCCCTCTTAGAACCCAACCTCCATGCTTAAGGAAGTCCAGATTATCCCAACAAAGAGATAGGCCATGTGGAGAAGCCATGGAGAACTAGGTATTATGTGAGAGAGACCATGTGGAACAGCAGCAAAATATTCCCAGCCAAGCTCACTGGGGAATGCAGCTTTAGAGTGGTCACGGCCAATGCCAAATAGAGCAGAACTGTCCAGTTAACCTAGAGAAGTATGGAAAATAATATATCGTTGTCATTTTAAGCTACATCTATTGGGGTGGTTTGAGATGCAATAACAACAACAAAAAAAACCAGTTTGGAACCCTAAAAAATGCTAGGAGTAAGGGTAAACAAAAACAAGCAAACAAACCCAACCCTTACAAAGCCGAGGTCTGGTTTGAAAAGAAACGTAGTCCTTTACTGGATTCAGTTGCTCATCATCCCTACTCCTAACTGCCTACCAGAAGGTAAAATAAATCCTCTTGTAGGGAAGATAGTATTATCTAGAACTTCAGGTCATCTACACAGTTTTAAAACAACATACAATATACAGAATGCAATGCCCAGAAAGTTTTAAAAATTATGCTTACAAAAATGTAAAAATTGACTGGCAGTCAAGAGAAAAATCAGATAATAGGAACATAACCATAAGAGATCCAGATATGGAAGTTATCAGACACAGATTATAAAATAATTGATATGTGCAATAAATTAAATGACAAAGTAAAGAGTTTCAGCCCACAAGTAGAAGTCTTAAGAATTAGAATGAAATTATGGAGCTTAAATACTCGATAAATGAAATTAAGAAGTCAAAGATAGACTTAACAGCAGGTAAGATGCAGCTGAAAAGAGAATCTGCGGACCAGAAGAACAGAAAAATCCAAACTCAGCACAGACACAAGAAATAAAAAATATACATAAATAAACATAGGGGTCAGATGTGACTTAATGAAAAAAGCCTCACTTTCACATCACTGAAGTCCCAAATGGAGAGGGGAGAGAGAAGAGAATAGAATCAATGTATAAAAAAATAATGGCTAAGAATTTTCCAAGCTGATAAAAGATTTCAAGTCATATAGTCAAGAAACTTTACAAACTCCATTAAAGATAAGTAAAAAGAAAGCCACCCCCAGACACATTATAGTAAAAGTGCCAAAAACCAAGGAAAAGAAGACAAAAGATTGTAGCTTAGATAAGAAAACAAAATATTTTACTCGTGTTTTTCTATTTATCTGGCATTCAAAATAAGTACTTTAAACAAAGAAGCTTATTTCTTTTTTTTTCCCTATCCCTCACCCTGCCCCTTTGGCAATCAGATTGTTTTCTATATCTATGGGTCTGTTTCCCTTTTGTTTATTCATTTTTGTTTTGTTAGATTCCACATATAAGTGAACTCGTATGGTGTGCCTCTCTCTGTCTGATTTATTTTACTTAGAAAATACTCAACACTCAATTCTTCATTTCCAAGTGGTTACCTAGGGAGGCTGATTGGTCTGGTCTGCTAACTAGATTCTCCATCTTATTCTTCCTCCCTTCTAGACCATTCTCTACACTGCAGTCGGGTTGATCCAAAATTTAAATAATACCTCTCTCTTCTATATGAATCTGTCAGTGGCTTCCCATTCCCTCAGAATACAGCTCTGAGACTTCTTATCCCTGTTTCACTAGCCCTTTCAGACCTGGTGTCTACCTTTCCAGATTCCTTTCTGACTACTCCCTCCACCTCTCTAGAACTCCAACCACACTCCACTGGCTTTTAATTCCTCTAAATTAATTTCCTCACCCACTCCAGGGTCTTTCTTGCAGGCTATTCCTACTCTTTGGAACTCTTTCCCCTCATCTCGTATTGCTTTTCCTGGCTTTCCTACTTCCTGTCAGATTATAATTTAAATATCATTGGCTCATGGAAACTTTCCAGAATTCCTAGAGGAGGTAATTTACTCCACAGAGGGCAAGAAATTTGCCCCTACAGCCTGACATTTCCTCACCAAAGTACCTACTGCACTTTATGAGTATTGCTTGTCTATCTCCTTGTAGAAAGTCGGCTTTAAAAGGGCAGAAACCATGCATGTCTTGCTCACAGTTATCCCCCTAGTCCTCAGCCTGGCTCAAAATAAGCACTCAGCAAATATTTTTTAATTACTTATTAACTAATATTAGAAAACCCTCACATCTTATCTTCAAGACAGTCCATTGTACTTCTCTTGCAGACCTAGTTTTTTTTTTCTTCTAGGAGCTTCTAGAAGAGTAAATGTGAATTGAACGTTATTTAATTTTTCTGTCCTTTTAATGTTTCAAGAATTTGCTGCAGTGAAAATACAAAGCAAAAAATAAATAAAAATTTAGCAAAAGTTTGAATATTCACTCCATAGGCCTCTCCCCTGCTATCCCAATTCAAGAGTTTAAAGTGCTCACTTACTTTCCTACATGCAAAGAAGTGTAATTATACTGCTTGCATCCTCAAATGACACTAGCTTTTCAGTCACTCAAGGATCCAGTTCAAAAAATAGCCTTCCTTGTTTTTTGTAGCCGTGGTGGCTCCTTTCCAGTTTTTATCACAGAGTTTGTTTTTCTCTGCTTCCTCTTCTCAGCTCAGCACAACTTCCGATGTTGTGTTCTGTAAACCTGCCACTGTTGAGGAGTCTTTTTATGTGCCATCTGAATTGGTCAGCTCTGTCTCATTACCTCCTGGGTTCTATTTTGAATTTTAGTGGCAAACAATTTTTCTTTACTTGTTACTTTCTCTCCCCTTGCAACTCATTTCTTAATTTGGCCACTTAATTAACTGTTCATTGGACAAAACTGAATGCCACCACTTCTCCAGCATCAAATTTTGTATGCTTTGTTTTCTGTTGCACCACCACTGCCAAGAACACCATCTACCTGGCACCTGATCCATACTCAGTACATATTTGTTAAATACATTAAATGTCTCGGCGTGTCCTCCATGACAGGCTGCTTCAGCTGATTTAGATTACCTTTGTTCTTCGTATGCTATGGATAAATATTTCAAACATTACTGAGTACCTAAAACTTCATAACGCTTAATAAAACTTCATTTAAATATATACGCTGTGCCCTGGCCAGGTGGCTCTGTTGCTTGGAGTGATGCCCCATGCACCAAAAGGTTGCAGTTTCAATCCCAGTGAGGCACATACCTAGGCTGTGGGCTGGGTCCCTGTACAGAGTGTGCATGGGAGGCAAGGCGACACATCGACGTTTCTCTTTCACAACAATGTCTCTCTTTTCTCTCTTCCCCGACCCCTTCCTTTCTCTCTAAAATCAATAAACATATATAATCTGGTGAGGATTAAAATACAAATACACGATGTGACCTGATCCAATCTTAGTCATTATTCATTAGTAGGTTCTTTTTTGTTGTTCAGAAACTAAGAGACTTTGACTTCCTTTGGATATTAAACCTAGTCTTTGGTCTATAACCTGGACTTTAATCAGTACAATGAATAGTTACTTCATTTGAATGTAAACAACAGTGATATGTTCACCCTGTAAATCAAATTGCTGGTGTTTACAAATATAGGTAGCAAGTACCAAGCAAGAAAGGTTCATTGTCCAGGTGAAAAACTGCTAACGGAGAGAGCAAATTTCTCAGTACCACCACTAATTTAAGATTGGGATAGTGACTGCTGGGTCGGTGATAGGACCGGTTTGATGGGATTTAAAAGAAAGGTTGGTGGCCTTCAGGGTTCTGGAAGAAACCACAGTGAGGACATTAGAAGATGAGCTAAATTTCCAAGTACTCAGTGAGATAAAGAAGAGGGTGAGGAAAGGACCTAGAATTAGCATGAATTAAAGGACATTGAATGGGCGGGGGTGGAGGTCCGGAGCTTAGATGGCGGGTTCAAGGGGACTGCAGAAGACATGGCCCTTGGGCTCTAATGCCAAAGGTGGGAAGAGAAAGCAAACAAAGCAAGCCTTAATGGGGGAAAGGACTGCTCCAAGATAGAAAAGACCAGGGGAGCCCCCGGCAGGGACTGCAGCAGTGTGGTGTGGGGGGTCAGCATCAGGTGGGGAGCAGAGTCCTCAACTGATGGAAGGTGATGCAGTCCCAGTTTTCTTTAGGAAGTTTTCATAGAGAGCATTGGGATCCAAAATTCGGGTCATAGAATATACTTCAGACTTTCACGGGATTAACAGTTTGGTGGCCACTCAATGTTGACTGGAAAATCCAGGGAGGGTCGGGACTTCATTTCAACTGGTTTAGTGTAACTTCAGTGAGAGATGGAGGGTCTTGGGTCAAGGTACATGGGTTAATTTTCAGCTCGGGTGGGTCGATGTGCCTCGTCTAGGGATGAATTATGTCGACACTCGGGTGTACTTCTGACAGCATGGCAGGTGAATTTCCTTGGGAATAGGGTGAATTTCCTTCTGGACCGGGTGCATTTCAGGTGGGGCTGAAGGTGGAACGCGGGCTCGGCCAGCGGATTGCATGCAGGCTGGGCTGCATTTCGGATCTTGCAGGGGCGAACGAGTCCGGTACGGGCTGTCCTGCTGGACTCAGATGGTTCGGATGCGAGGCAGGGAACGGCGGGCAGGGCTACACTGGGTCCACAGCTTGGGGACTTCGGGGACGCTCCCTGTCGAGCGGTGCACTGGGCTCCCGCCCCTCCGGCTCCTGAGGGAACCTGTTGCAGGAGAAATGGGCGGGCGGCGGCGGCCACAACGGAGGGCCCTCCCTCGCCTCCACTCGGGCCTCTCGGCGTCCCTTCTACTGTAGAGACGCTTTCGGGGGCGGCCCCTCCTTTAAGAGGAAAAAAAAAAATCTCCGACCTACAGCCGTGAGCCAGCGGGAGCCTGGTGGCGGCTCCTGTCGCTTCCGGGAGCGGAGGCGCAGTCCCGCGGCGGGAGGCGGAGAAGGCGGTGGCGGCGGCGGAGGAGGAGGCGGAGGCCAACATGGCGGCGCGCAGGGCTGGGCCAGGCCGCCGCCGCGCCTGAGCTCCCGGCGCCCACGCCCGCACCCGACGTGGCCAGCGGCTGCGGAGGGCGCAGGCTAGGAGCTCCGGAGCCCGCCGGAGCGCGGGGACGGCGCCCAGGCAGCCTCGTGCGGCCTGCCAGGCCGGGGACTCGCAGCTTCGCCGCCCGCCGGCCGGCGCGGCCCCGAGGCCGAAGCCATGGAGTCGGAGGAGGAGCAGCACATGACCACGCTGCTGTGCATGGGCTTCTCGGACCCCGCCACCATCCGCAAGGCCCTGCGCCTGGCCAAGAACGACATCAACGAGGCAGTGGCGCTGCTCACCAACGAGCGGCCGGGCCTCGACTACGGCGGCTACGAGCCTATGGACGGCGGCGGCCCCAGCCCCGGGCCTGGCGGGGGCCCGCGGGGCGACGGCGGGGGTGACGGCGGCGGCGGACCTTCCCGCGGCGGGAGCACTGGGGGCGGGGGTGGTTTCGACCCCCCGCCCGCCTATCACGAGGTGGTGGACGCCGAGGTGAGGAGCGGCCACCGTGACCCCTCGCGGGGAGGCCAGTGGGCTGGAGGGGACACACCCCACTGTGCTAGGAGTGCGGGGCGAGGCCCAGGTGACAGGGACTGGAGCACCGGGCTCGTCAGGGACGGAGGTCACAGCACTGGGGTCAAGTTGGGCTGAATGGGATGTGGGAGTAGCGGGCGGGATTGCGCGGCGCGGTGAGGAGGGGGTCTCCCTAAGGCTTCGGGCTAAGCCCGCCAACAGAGCGAACCTGGGTCGGGGATGGGCGGGAGAGTCCGAGGCTAGCGTCGGCGGCCTCGGGAGCCTGGCGCGTGCGAGGCTCCTGTGTCCGCCGACGCTAGCCTCGGACTCAGAAATTGGGTGCTGGAAGACTAGGTTAGGGTCCCATCTCGTGTCACCCCGTTTCGGTGAATGAGGGGGAGAAGCACCATGTTCAGATTTAGAGTCAGAGAAAAAGTGGGACGGGCCAGCCAGAGTAGTGGTCCTTTGCTAGCGGCAGAGGAGGATTGCTGGGGTTAGGAATGGGGTTTGGATTTTATTTAGTCAAGGAGCAGAAAGAGAGAAGATTGGGCAGGATCTAAAATGAAGAGGGACTGGGCTGGGGCTAGGAATGACAGGACTTGATATGAGGTAGGGGAGGAGCACAGTTGCTATAAGGTCTGGATTAAGGCCTGGTAATTAAAAACGGTAAGGATTGGACTGAGAGAGGTTACAGGTAAGAGGGACTACGCAGTGATGGGGACTGGACTTGGAGGATGAAGCTGGGACCAAGTCTGGGTAAGGGGAGTACTTGTCACAGATAAGGTCATAAATGAGAGAAAACTGGCCTGGGAAAGCGACTGTGTGCGGAGGGACAGGGTGAGAGATAAATGGTAGTGGAGGAGTCTGTTAAGGAGAAAATGCCAACGAAGTGAATGGCTGCGATGATAAATCTTGAGCCTGGGTAGAGAAAGTTAGGACTGTTCGGTGTGGGATGTTAGCCGAGAGCATGGTGCGGGGAGAATGAACTTAAACTTCAGTTTAAAAAATGATGAATTAGAAGCATCATGGCAGCTCATGGCAGGAATTTTGGTCAGTTTCGTTGGTTAGTGTATTTCGAAGGGTCCAACACAGCAGGTGGATCTAATCACAGAAAAACACATCTCCAGTTAGTGGTGTGTGTTCTTAAATAGATAAAGGAATTTGGATAATTCTTAATGAAGCTAAGCGTTCTGAGAGATCTTATTCTTAAAGTGTTATATTCTTTTAATTATATGCTTTTGCAGCATTTGCTTGGGCTGAAGTAGCTTGGGAAAGAAGGCACTTCAAAAAACGAGGTTTCTTCAAAGGATTTCTTTGGTTTCTGGGCTTCCATGTACTTGATTGATTGCCCTGTATGTACCCAGTATCTCAGCTGTTTCACTAAGTATGGAAGTAAAGACTGTTGTTATTCCTAGTTTTGGAATTTTTAAAAATTCTGTATCATTAAGTAATTGTACTTCAGTCACTTTAAGCAATGAGCTTCTCTTTGCAAGCCCTCCCCTCATGCTCCTCTCCTTGTTCCTTCCAGTTTTTGACCCAGTTTTGAAATTGAGAAGAAAGCCGTTGGTTTTGCTGAAGGCATTTGTACAACTCTACAAAGCTCAGTGCAATCCCCATATTGTGCGGAATTTTATTCTTTTTTTCTTCTGTCACATTGTAATTTTCTGTGGTTGAAAAATCAAATGAAGTTATAATGATTGATGGTACTTTACATTAGCTGTACATACAAAGTATCGGGACAGGCTTCTTTTCACATGATGGTAGGCTGAGGAGTTTGCTTTCGTGTAAAATCCAGAGATTCTATACCTTTTTGAGGAGTCGTGTGAAACTTTTATTTCCTCTTGACCTGTGTATTTGGCAGGGGAATCGGGAAGAGGGGGAGGGTGGACTACAACATTTAATATTGAGATTTCACAAGGCTGGTGACCTGAGGCTGCTTTACCCAGAAGCGTTTTGGCAGGAATGCAGGCAGACACAGGAACCTAGTGAGAATGTTTAACCCAGTTTTTGCCTCTGTAGTTTTATAAATTTCGTGTGCCACCTGTGCAGCTTGTTGTTCATCTTCGCTGTAGTGGGAAACTGAAGCTTCCCTTGATCTTGGGAAATCGGGAAAGATGCTAATTTTTGTTGAGCATCTACAACATGTCAGGCACTATGCTATTTAGTTACATTATACAGATAATTTAATCCTTATTGAGACAGTTGACATAACCATTTTAAAGATAGGATTAGTTAGTGACAGAGCCTGAATTTAAACCTGGTCTCTCTAACTTCAAAGACTGTGTTTTTCATTCTGTTCAACTCAGGCTTTTAGGATTGCATTCATTTTAGGATAAGGAAAAATAAGGAAGGAAAGACATTTGGGGGCTACTGTACAATCTAGGAATGGTGTGGCAAGCACTGAATCAAGGCATTAGGCATAGAATAATGGGTAGAATGAAAGTAGAATGATAGATTTTTAATGCAGAAGACTTTAGAAATTGTTAGTTCAGCTGTCTTCTTTTACATATGCGTTCTTGCAGGCCCCGAAGGGGAAGTTGCTTATCCCCACAGATCCAGTTAATGGAGGAGATGGAACTGGAACTCAGGCCTTCTCATTGCGAGTCCAGTGCATGTTCTCCCTACCAGCTGTTTGCTTTTTTCCAAAGGAAAGAGACAAGTCACAGTTGTAGGTTAAAGGGGATGAAGAAGAGGGAAGCGTAACAAACTGAGTGAAGTTTGTCAGTTCTTGTATGATTTACCCATTTTATTAAAAAACAATAAATACCTTATTTTTAATTGTGTAAAGCTTTATTTAATAAATAGGAAATTTTGGTTTCAGTGTCCTCTTAAAAATGTTTGGGAATATACAGATTAAAATCTGTTCAAAAAAGAACAATAATTACATTTATTTTTATATTTGTAGTTCGGGGACAGGAATGATCTTCTCACTCTGTAAACAATAAATGCCTTCCATATACCTGGGCTGGGAGTTACAGTGGTGACTTGAACAGGGAGGTTCCATTCTAGTGGATCCTAGGGCAATGCCTCTCATTTTATGAGAAGTGACCTCCCAGAGTCATGTAGCTCATTAGGGAAATCAGTTTAGTAATTAGGGCTCATGATATAACTAGGATTTGGCTTAAAAATTAAAATTTGGAAAGTAAAAGCAGTTGACTTCTTGTTCAATAGAAGCCAGGAGAGTACAGATAAAAGAGACCCAGGTGTCTAGCAGTACACGTAAAAAGGCGCAGAAAGCCACCTTTTAAATACCTTCCATTTAAGTAAAGGCATTGTTTTGCAGAAAGTTGTGTTTGGTTGTTACTGGTACTGTTGGATGCAGATGTATATATATGAGGTCCATCTAGAAGTCCAGCCATTGTTAATATAAGGAAAACGGTTTGCATGACATAATGTAACCTGGCAGCCAAGGAGAGTGGACTGGAATGTGCATGCATGACCAATGATGACTTCACTGTACCAGTCGGTGGGGGCAAAAGATCCCCTTGAATGAACGTGTGTACCGTGGCATTCAAAATGACTAAGTGAGTAGAGCAACAAATCTCCATCAAATTTTGAGTTAAACTTGAACATTCCTCCATGGAATCTAATCAGATGATTCAGAAAGCCACAGTTATGGGCAGCTGGTGATTGACAGCTTGATCATGGCAACACATCCACTCATGCATCATATCTCATGCAGAGGTTTTTGGCAAAACGTCAAATCATCCAGGTGACTCACCCTCCACTACAGCCCAGATTTGATGCCCTGAGACTTCTGGTTTTTCCCAAAACTAAAATCACCTTTGAAAGGGAAGAGATTTCAGATCCTCGATGAGGTTCAGGAAAATACAGTGGGGCAGCTGATGGCGATTGGGAAAACTGTGAGGTCACAAGGTGCTTACTTTGAAGGGGACTGAGGCATCATTGTCCCATGTACAATGTTTCTTATATCTTCTTCAGTGAATATCTCTGTTTTTCATATTATGTGGCTGAATACTTTCTGGACAGGCCTTGTAATTTTTAATCTCTGAGTCTGAAAGAACCTCAAGAAGCCATCCAGTTTTCATTTGAAATAGCATTTCTTCAGAACCTTTCCACGGCTGCTAAGAGTCTGTTCTAATATTAAAGAGAGTGAGATCTCACACCTGCTGTAAATAACTTACCCTGATATTTAGGACTCCCATCATCAGAGTTCTTTACTGTTTCTCACAGAGCTAATATAAACCTCTCTGGCCATTACTAATGCCCCATGGTTCTGCCCTCCACAGAGCAGGGAGAGTTGGTCCTTTGAGAATTGTGATCCTGTTCCAGGGGCCAGTAAAATTCAACCAGGTGTTGTCTTGGGCATCTTATAAAATTTAACAGTTGTGAAATGTATCTTATTTATTATCAAGTCTCCTTATTTGTCTTTAGAGAATACAAAAACGGTGGGGTGTTTTGCAAGGAAATTGCAATTAACAGCTTAGAAATACCTTTCTGTGATAATTTATGTTCTTAGAAGTGGCATTTAATATGGTGAACTTGTTTTGTTCCTGTTTTAATGTGGACATTCCTTCTGGAGTTATCTTGTCAGAAGTGCTTGCAAGATTTCATTGCTTCTTTGTTTTTTAAGAGCCCCAAAGTTGGCCCTGCTATATTAATAGATCTAAATCACATAAAAATAAAAATCACATTAATTTGTAGTTCCTGAACTCATTTTTGCCTCTCTTTTCCCCCCTTTGGTAGTAAGTGGTAGTTGTAAATGAATTAAAATTGTAATATCATCAGTATTCAGGTTTATATTAAAATTTATGTTCTTTTCCCCCAAACCACACAATCCTAGTGTATTTGAGTGTGAGGAAATATCAAGCTAATTATTAGTGATTTGAATATATGACCCATAGGTTATGATTTACTATGAGGTTGTGATTTATTATGATTTGGTAACTTTAAAAAATTTTTCATTTAAAGGTTTTACAATAAAAATAAGATTAAAAAATCAGTTGACAGTAGCTGAAGTAAATATAAGGAGTCTGAAAGATGTAGCCCAATTTTTGAAATAAATTTCTTTATAATTTAGTGTATATGTATCTCCTTTGGGAGTTGGGCCTGTGAGTTCATCTAACAGGTTCTCACCTTGCAAGCACCTGGCCACATGCTATGAGAATGAATGTACTTTGGCTGAAGGAAACACTTTTTGTGTGTCAGTGAGTCACCGTGGATATACACAACCTGATAATACTATTACCTTAGAATTTGAAACAATATTAGAAAAGTAAATATTGTAATGTTTTAACAATTTAAAGGAACAGTTTCAACTTAAATACTATTAAATAGCAGGTTTCAATTTACTGCTCAAATGTCATAAGATTTATTTGAATCTGAGTGTGAAGATGAAAATTTTTCACTTTTATTAAGAAGTGTTATATTTAGGAAAATTTAGTTAAATAGTATTTTTCATATCTGGAGCTCAGTTTTCAGGATTTTTTTTTTCAAATTTGGAACACCAGAGAAAAATAGTTAAAATCCATAAGATTAAGCCATTTCAAAACACCTCCATAATATTTAATGCACTAAAGCTCATAGTTCTCACTCATTTGTGTTGTAACTTTTTAAAAAAGATTTTATTCATTTATTTTTAGAGAGAGGGGAGGGGAGGAAGAAGGAAAGGAAGAGAAATACCAATGTGTGAGAGAAGCATCAATCAGTGTCCTCTCTGTGCACCCCAACCAGGGGCCTGGTCTGCAACCCAGGCGTGTGCCCTGACGGCATGAACTGAACCAGCAACTTGGTGACTTTTCTCTTTGCTGAACTTTTTTTTTTAAGCATAGTTCAAATGATTTTTAGTATTAGGTTCCCTATCAAATTAGAAGTAGCAAATTAGAAGGGTTTTGTAGTAGTCCAGACATGATGGGATGAGCTGTTGAGCTGTTAAAGGTAAGCATATTAACAATAGAAGTGAGGTCGCAAGCAGTTCAGTGGTAAAGGAGGGGATAGGAAAACTTTCAAAGCAGACTCAACCAAAACAGGCCAGCCAGCTCTCTGTGCTTCATGACCCGGAAAGGATAACTATTTTTAATGGTGCCACACTCAGAAACTGTATCAGGATGCTCTGTTTAAGAAAGGTCAGGAATGTGTAACACATTTTAGCAAGGTTTCAGTTAAAAAAAATAGAAGTTGAGCGCATAAAGCAGTAAGCTTTGGGTTTGGAAAATTCTGAGGATACTAGAATGCAGAGGTACTACGAAGGAAATTGGGCTTCCTGTTCAAAAAGTGAATGTTTATCCCCCGTCCTTGAGGGTAGTTTTGGTTTCTTTTTCACATTTGTATTTCTCATTATCGTAGGAATTTTTGTCATTCATTATTGAAACATTTTTTAATCACAACTGATTTATACATTTTTCATAGGTTTTTATTAGTAAATAACGGTTATTGTTGATAATCTCTGTGATGAGTTTTTGGATAATACTTTTATAAATGTTTCATTTTCATGACATGTTTGTGAGTTCATTTCTCTATCCCACATTGAAAAGCCTGTTTTTTACCATTGGTGGCTTACGTTTTTTAAATTTCTGTACGTGGGGGGGTGGGCTGAGGGAAGTGGAACCTATTTGTTTTAGAGATTAACCTTAAATTAGTTAATGGAACAAATGTAGGTTTGGTTTATTTTTAAGTATTCTGTAGAAGAGAACTACCACAATTAAGTCAAAATTTTATTCTGATAATCTTTGCAGAAATTGAAATGCAAAGATCTGTGTAATCTTTTTCTAGAGCTGACTTGAAGATTTGCTTTTAATTTTTCTTAGAGATAAATAACATCTTAGGTGCCCACCAGAGTCTTCTCCCTTCCAGAAGTGAGCTTCATGGTTCTGGCTCTCAGAAAGGAACTAAGGTTCCTTTCCTTAGTAAGGTAGCTAGTTATTTGTATCGTGAAATTCAATTGACACTCTTTGATATGCTTTCATTTAAGTTTAAGGTGTTTGTGTTAGAAGTATTTTATTTAGAATATTAGATGGCTTCTAATTAGTTCTTGTTGTAAGAAAATTGGCTGGGAAGATGTGACTCACCAAGACTTTTCAAATTTGAGTCACAGTTTAAGCCTTAATGGAATTTCTATTCAGTTGCTTTTCCTGCCCTTCTCTTTCTCTGCATGCTTCCCCCAGGTCTCACCTAGTATCTCAAAGCATTTTGTCTTATCGTTTTAAGGATATTGTTATTTCTGACTCCAGTGTGTTTCCATTGGCCTTTAACTTACCTGCCAGCTTTTTAGTACTCTCAGAGGTCTGTGACTATATTTTTAAAACAGCTGTAGTTAGAGCATAGCTTTGCTTTGCTGAAGGGATGGAAAAGAGATATACATCTGGCCACCACAGTTTTGTCACCTCTGTCTCCTGTGACATGTGGCAGTGTCAAGATGGTGGGGCTGTTGGTAGGCTCTACACCCCGTCCCACCAGTGGTTTTCAAGAAGCTTTGTACTCACTTGACTCTGTTCCGTACACTCTCCCATGTCTGTTTGCTCATTGTTAAAGAGGGCGGGACAGCTATTTGTGGTATTTTCGCTAAATGGAAAATATTTTTTAACTCTATATTTATATTAAATAATAGTAAAAGTCAAATTCCAATGATAAAAACAGACCTTAAACTAAAAATGTCAGTGCAACAAAAACAGTTTATAGGCCATTTTAACAAAATAGCCACCCATTTAAAAGGTTTTTACTAAGCACTTACTGTGCGCTAGGCACTGAGCTAAGTGTTGGGAATACACTGATAAGTTAATCACACATAGGTGCCTTTAAGGCACACATAGGTGCCTTGAAGAGTTGAGGGTTAAATATGAAAGACTTTAAGTATGTCTATCCAAATCATTTAAATAGTGCATCAAAGAATTTTTTGTGGTGTAATTTGACCTATAATGGTATCTATTGCCAGAAACCAAGTGATTTCTTTTTCAAGATATGTTTGTTTTAGTGCTATAGAAATGTACAGAATTTGTATTTATTTACTTGTTGAACCTTTAATATTAGTAGGTTGATGATTCTCTGAACTAGTATTCTTTTAAAAATGGTGCTAATTATTTCAATTAAATGTCATTATGTTTTGTTCTAAAATCATGAATGTTTACATTTCTCCCAGAAAAGAGAAATTGCTCTAGGAACTAGTCTTATTATAGGCTAAAAATCTCTTGTGGTTGTTGATAATACAGATAAACTATTTTAAAGCTAGAGGAATGTTGTTGATTTTGCAAAATGTTGTAGAAAGACTTACGGTGGTAGAAATAGTAGTGACTCTGTAAATGAAGACCTGTCTGGGAATAGTAGTATTAGAAGTCCTTATGTTATGTTAGCTTATTTATTATTAGTATTTTGCTTTTTGTAGTCAGTTTTATGTTGGAGTAGACTTTCTTTGCTAAAATAATAGTTTGAAAGTATTAATAATTTTCACTCTTTAAGATTTACTTCCTGTGATGTCTGCTTCATTTGAAATGTTTTGGTGAATTGCAATAGCAATGGGCCATCCTGTTTATCGTATCTGTTCTTGAGCAATCAGTACTGTCAGTGTTGAAATTATACCAGGCAAAGATTTTACATATGTATAAAAATTTGCATCATAATAACAATTGGTTTATGATATACTGACATCTGTAGAGAATAGTAAGCAATTCCTGTTTGCTTTTCATTACTTTGAGGGTATTATGGTTGGAGTATAAAACTTATCTGTGGTAGCCCTGGCCAGGTGGCTCAGTTGGTTGGTACGTTGTCCATACACCAAAAAAAAAGGTTGTGGGTTCAATTCCCAGTCAGGGCACATACTTTGGTTATGGGTTTGGATCCCCAATCAGGCCATGTACAGGGGACAACCTATTGATGTATCTCTCACATTGATGTTTTTCTCTCTCCTTTCCTCTCTCTAAAATCAATAAAAACATATCCTCAGGTGAGAGTTAAAATAAATAAATACATACATACATACAAACATACATACATACATAAAGCTAATATGCGGTAAAGGAATTCTAAGCATTTTTACAGGAATTGAAGATAAAAAACAATGCAAAGTTACTTTGGATTCCCCCAGTTCATAGTAATTATAATATGGAAGAAAAATATCAAGAATACTTAACAAACCCTCCTCTTCTTGCCTCCTCTCAGGCATGTGGTCCCAATCCCCGTAATGTACGGAGGGGGAGGGAAAGGGCTCCAGCCCCCCATGTCTTCGGTGCTGATGGTTTTCAGTCCACCGGTTCTCTCCTCAAGTGCCGGGACACGGTAAAAAAAAGAAGAAGAAGAAGAATACTTAGCAAGCTCCGTTCCATAAAACAAAAATACTCTGTGTGGAACTGAGAGGATTTCCTGTCTTCCACTTTCCCTATTCCAATAAACAAAACTATAAGTTGTGAATGTAAGGATCGAAATTGAAGAGCTGGAAAGGACCAGGGGGATCATATGGTGCTAAATCTTGTCGGTTCAGAGAGAGGACCTCCTTTATCCTCAGCAAAGTCGGGAAGGGGACCCAGCATCCTGCTTCACAAGGTCTGTGTTGTATACCATATTTTTAGGACTATAGGACATACCAGACCATGAGACGCACCTAGGTTTTAGAGGAGGGAAATAGGGGGAGAGATTTTGAAGCAAAAAATGTGGTAAAATATTTAATAACCTGTGACCCCACTTCACTGCTGCCCCCCTCCCCACAGCGAGTGGGGTAAGCTACGTTCAGACTATAAGATGCACCCCCCTTTTCCTCCTGAATTTGGGGGGGAAAGTGCATCTTATAGTCCAAAAAATATGTTATTTTACCATGCTATCTTTCTGACATGAGGAAGTCTTTTTCTGTAGGTCATTTTTAATATATCATCTTTCCGCATAAATTTGCTGTGTTTTAATCACCACCATTTCCTTTGTTAGATATTATTTTGGGTTAGGGAGACAAAGTTGACATTTGATTTGTTTTTCCCCCTCAATGATATTTATCTTGTTTGGCTTGCTTTCCTATTCAGCATTTTTAAAATGTCAGCACTTATTAATAAGTTTTTAAAAGGTGGTGGGGTTGCGGAAGGGAAGGTTGAGCAAATGCTGTCACTTGTGAAGGTGCTGTCACTTGAGAAGGTGCAGTATAAAGCTGACAAGGATTAGCATACTCCTTTGTGAGTTCATCCACAGTTTATAAATCTCTCGAAACAGTGTGCCACCTAATTTGTCTCAGATGTGTATCTTTCACTTCCTTAAAATTGCCTTTTTGTTCTCTGTCAAATATAGTGTTTATCATAAATATCAACTAAGACATTATATACTTGTAGCTTTGAAATTAAACATTTTGAATGATACCTTGGAGGACAGGTGTTAATATGCTAAAAACATAACAGTTGTCTTAGATTATATATTTTAATGAATACAGAAAAGTATTCTTAGTGTATATTGATTAACTCTTAGAGGATACCTTTAAAAATTTAGTCTTAAAATATACCAGGTCCTTTTATGACTCCTTGACTATGTACATGGTTTTTCTCCTACTTGGCATGTCCTCCTCATCATCCCTCTCTCCCCTTTTCTTGCTGTATTAGATTGTGAGAATCAGTCCAAACGCTGTGTGGCATCAACTTGATCCTTGCAGTTGACCCTTTCTCCACAAAGCAGTTAACACAGGCTTACAGTTGGCAGAGCGAGGTAATGAACAGCCCTGGTATTTCAGTGTAGCAAGTCCTGTGAGACTTCAAGTGCTAGCAATACCACGAGTACCGTTAATCAGGTGTGCTAATGGCCTGTTAGAGCTCAGGACCTTGCATTACACTTCTTCCCATTCATTGTTCCCCTCTTCCTAGTGAAAGGTCACTTCTTAAATTGGAATAGAAACCCTTTTGTATCTGTCATAACATTTATTGTATTTTATTGGAATTACTCATTTATTTGTTACCCAGACTAAATTTTAAATCTTTTGAGGATGGGGTCTGTTCCTCTGTATTTCCCATAACGTGCAGGATTACACTTGACATAGCAAGTGCTAAAATAAATGAAAGAGTCTGATTTGGAAAAGATTTGCATTACCACTTTTGGAACACATTTTCCTTCGTTCACATAAATCAAATAGTCTCTTAAAGCTAATTTGCCCAAAATAACCTGAATCATGGCTTGTAGGTAATATATATATTTTGGTAGTCTCTTAACAGATTTCAGTCATGTTTCTTACTTGTTTCACAGTTTGTGGGAAGGAACTTCTGTTGGACTGTTGCAGATGTCTTTACAATGGGCACCATTTTGGACATAACGCATTAAATCTAAACTCTAGTATTTGGTAATGCTGCTTCATAGTTTTCTTCCTGTAGGTCACAGAGAAGACAGTTGCACATAGGAAAGAACATAACACATGCTAAAACAGGAAGATTTTTTGTTAGCTTTTGGTAGGACTGTTTGCCATTAATATAACTTTGTTACATGGCATATTGAGCTTTACCTTAATAAGGAGAAAAGTATTTGCAGAGATTGTCATTTCTGGAGAAGAAAGAAAATGTGCTATGATATAATTAAAACAGGAAACTGATTTTTAGAATTTTTTTTGTTTTGGGCTGTCCTGTTTGTTTCATTTATCACTCTTAATGATGATTAATGAAGTTACTATTAATCTGAATTTATTTTGAAGTAAAGCTACTGAGACACTGTTCGCTTTTTTACCCCTTCTTTCTCACCCCAGGGTGGGGTGGTGTAGAGGGGAAGTAGGAAGAGGAAAGAAACAGTAGCATGGGAACCATGTGTTTAATACTGAACTAATATTTACTGAGTGCTTTCGGCTGTGGTCAGGCTTATGACTGCTAAGACACGTCCTGCTTTTAGGGGTCCATAGCATGTGCGGTGGTTCTAGAGAGTGGGTAGCACCGGATCAGAATCACCTGGCTTGTTGGTTCAGGATAGCTTTTCCCCAGTAGGGCCTCCAGCCATCCCCAGAGATTGCGACAGAGTGGGGAGCACTGGGTGCAGTACCTAATGAAGTGCTGGGAAAGGTGTGTGTATGTGCTGTGGTCAGCCGAAAGTCCAGTGTGGATATAATTTGGTTGTATACTAGATGTGTTTTTCCCAAGTTTTTATCTTGAGTAATTACTAACCTATGGAAAAGTTAAAAGAATAGTACAAAGAACATCTGCATACCCATCCCCTTGATTCAGCATTTGCAGATGTCATGTCATACTCGCTTGATCTCTCCTCTGTCTCTAAAGACATACAGGGGCATGCACACTCACACCTTTTTTTTTTTTTTTTAAAGATTTTATTTATTTATCTTTAGAGGGGGAAGGGAAGGAGGGAGGGAGAGAAATATCAGTGTATGGTTGCCTCTCCTGCATTCCCTGCTGGGAACTGGCCTGCAACCCAGGCATGTGCCCTGGAATCGACCTGCAATCCTTTGGTTCATAGACCTGCACTCAATCCACTGAGCTATACCAGCCAGGGCGCACCTTCCTTTTTTAATCCTTTGGAAAGAAGATGCAGGCATCGTGGTACTCGACTCCTGAACTGTTTAGTGTGCATCTCCTAAGGCCTGAGGCGTTCTCCTCCAGATGCGCAGTGCCGTTGTCTCAGCAAGAGAATTTAGCAGTGGTACATTAATATTTTTGTTATCTTCTTTATTTTCAGAGTTTCCCACTTACCCCAAAAATATCCTTTATAGACATTTTAAAAGTTAATCCAGGATTTAATCAGAGATTATGCACTGCATTTAATTATCATGCCCCAAGATAAATAAGTAAAATGTAGATTCCAGAATAGTCTTTACATCTTCTTAGTCTTTTGATATATTTTTGTAAACAACCCAGTTCTCTTACTATATTTTTAGAAGATTATGTAATTGAATCATTTAAATTATGCAAGGAAGTTTTATCATCCATTAAGGTAATAAGGAGAACCGAATAATAATACTAACTTTTTCATGAGATAACTTGTTCCTGCTTATTAATAAGACTGCACTCAGTCATCTTGATTCATATCTTTTATATAATTTTAGCATTTTTAGAGCCTGAAGGGATCTTGGATCTAAAAGCAAATGTTTTCACTTATAGATGGAACTGAGGTATGGAGAGATATTAAGTCTTATTTAAGACGGTGGTTCTCAGCCAGGGGTGATTTTGCTCCCAGCAGACATGCGGCAATGTCTGGATGGAGACCTCTCCAGCTGTCACAACTAGAGGGGTCCTGCTGGCACAAGCGGTGGGGGGGGAGTCCAGGAACGCTGCCAAGCATCCTGCAGCGCACAGAACGTCCCCGGAGCAGAGAACTGTCCAGTGAAAATGTCAGTAGTGCTCAGATGAAGAAGCCTCAGTGTAAAGTCACACAGCTAGTGGGTCTGAAAGCCATGTTTCCCGACTCGATTCTTTGCTCTTTACACAAACACACACACAGTGCTTTGCTTTCCTTCCCTTTCATTTCATCACCTTCATCTTCTGTTTCTTCACTTTGAACATTTTTGTTAAGCCTAATGAATTATCTTATGGCTCTAAGGACTAAGCTTAATTGGAACATATTGCTAGAGAGAACATGGAGTATCTTTCTGAAAGAGAAATGCTGAAGTTCTTTCAGTGGGGTTTTATCCCTTTAAGTAAAAATTTATTCAGACTAACCTTTTAAAAGCAGTTTAGGTAACTCTTAGGTAGCACTTTACTTTTATGTATATGGTGTTTGAATTTAGAGAGCATTTTCACATACATTATCTTATTTAGTACTCAAAAACCCTTTGTGGTTATAAGCAAAGCAAATAGTGAGGAAATGAAGGTTTACAGAAAGTAATATATCCCATGTGACTGTGGCCAGGTAGGTATTATTAAAAACTACATGAAGAGAGATTTTAGTTGAAATTTTATCTGCAAAAAGAATAGTCAGCCTCAAAATGTCACAAGCGCCGGATCACTAGGCATACTTAGGCAGAGGCTCTGGGATATTTCTAGAGATGTTGAGAAGGATTTAGGTATCAAATACAAGTTAAGGCACTAGAAGTAGATGGAGAATTAGATACAGCCTCTCTCACTGAGTAACAGAATCTAATTGGGGCACCAAACCTGTAAATAGATCAAGTTTCATACAATCCAGTATCCTGGTGTTAAGGAAATAGAAGAAAATACTTTAAGTACGCCACACTGTCCCTTTGGTGGCAGACCCTCACCCATACAGCTCTCTAGAATTCCTTCCCCTTCTCTTTCATAAGTATTTATTAGGTGCTTACTATTTATTCATTCAAGTATTTATTGAACAACCACTCTGTCAGGGACTGTTGGTGATAATGTAACAAAC